GTGGCACACTCATAGCCACTACAGCTTCCACTTGCTAGGCTCAGGTGATCCTTCCACTTCAGCCTTCCATGTAGCTGGAACTGCAGGTGTGTGCCACCACGCCCAGCTAATTTATCTTGAGGTTTCACCAAGTTGCGCAGGTTGGTCTCAAACCCCTGGGCTCAGACAATCCTCCCACCTCGGCTTTCCAAAGTGCTGGAATTATAGGCATGCACCACCAAGCTCAGGCTATACATCTTATCTTGATAAGGATTATTTTTCTCATCTCACAGACGAGAACCTAAAAGTCAGAGATGTGAAAGGACTTGCCCAAAAACCACACAACATGAAAGAATGTACGTGAATGTATGTGTGGTAGCTGACACATTTAAGCATTTAGAACATATTAGCTAATATAATTACGATGATGAAGAAATGATTCAGTTATAGGATTGGGACTTGAATTAAAGTACTTTTAAGACTTTTTTGAAGACTAAATTTACATGATAATAATTCATGGTATGGCTCCACAGCATGAAAAAAAGAAAAAAAAACAGTACCTTCACACTTTGACACAATAACAGTTGCTACATTAGCACAGTCTTCACATTTCAGCTTCCCCATGGAGATTGGTGAGATTTTCAGTTGTACTCCCCTCCCCTTTCCTATTTTATTTTTTATTGTCTTTTTAAAAAAAGGAAAGTCTGGTTGTGTTGATTATCTCTTATTACTTCCAAATAAGAACACGCTTTCATTTACTGAAATTAAATCCGCATTCCCTCTGCTGGCACACTCTAGGCTGTCTTCTCCAGAGGGTTTAGGGCCTGTTAGATGGCACACAGTTGGAAGTTGGTGGCATTGAGTCGCTGCCAAGGTTGGCAGACCTTTAAGATGGCATCTGGTGACCTTTTGCTGAGCCCCCTGGGTCCTCCATTTGAGATTTTATGTTCTCGGCAGGGGTGTAATCCAAATCAAATGTGAGATCTGGTGAACTGGAGTTACACGGGAGGTGGGGCCAACGGGGGATCCCTACATTGCTTTGGGCAGAGGATGCTACTAGATGCCCTTGCAGTGTTTTTTTCTAACCCTGAGACTATGAGCTCTAGTAGAGGGTGACTCTAATGGGCTGGTTTGCAGGAAAAGCCCAGTGTGAGAGAGGGAACAATTGGACAGTTTTCTCCTCATTTATTTATCATCCAGCAACACAGTAATCCTTCCTAATTGTTCTCATTCCTGGATGACACTAAACTCTCTGTGACACCCCTAGAGTAGAAGCTGAGGTCAGAAGTACATATGCGGGAGCTAGCTGTGTCTTGCTTCCAAGAGAGTATCAATGGCATTTTTTTTTCCTTCTTTTGGAATGGCAAATTTCTATTTTCAGTAATGTAGGTAAGATAGCATACAAGCCTAGAAAAAAGAACTGTGAGTTTGTGAGCAACATAACAACCATTGTGTATTGACGAATTGTTTGTGCTAACTACAGACACAAGCAGTTTCTCAGCTGGGGAGTCATTTTCATGATAATTTTTTAAGTGTTATGTATTTTTTGTGAAATCAGCTTTTACTTGAAACAGACTTAACAGGTTATTTTTGGTTTTACATCTACTGTGGCTCTTTTAAAAGACAGGGAGATACATTTCACATTTCTCAAGCAATTCGGTCCTGAGACTGCCCACAAAAGGATCTTGAAGGTGATTAAAGCCCAGGTAATATATCACTCTCGCCTTCCTCCAGAAGAGTTAACTCTCTGTCCCATGAACCATTTTTGCCTTCAAATCCTGTGTTTCCCTGCTTTGGTTGCCTGTTCCTCTACTTTCTGTCCCTCAAGTAATCCCAAACTTCCATGTTTGTGGATCAAGTAGTCTGAGATTTAAATCCTGGTTCTACTACTGAAAAGCCATGTAGAACTGGGTATACGTCCTGTCTATAGTTTCTTGTCCCTCCACCCCTAGATTCCTCAAACCACTTCAGTCTAGCACCCACCTCCACCACCTCATTGATACCTTAATTTCTTCATGCTAAAATGAAGACAATATGAGTACCTGCCTATTTAAGGAATAGATAATCTAATAGATGTAAATACCTATGGTGGGGTCGTCCTAGTAAATGTTCAGCAATACTATCATAGTTTGTGACTATAGTTTATAACCATTGCAGACCATAGTTATTTGTTTCTAATGAACTCCAAATTATACTGATTATTTGTAACATGAAAAGAATGTTATATGTTTATATGCTAACTAGGTATGTTTCCTATTATTTATGTAAATTTTATACCAATTTAATAGTTTATATCAACCTACTTTGACATCTGAAGAAATCACTTGTCACAAGTCTACCACTCACTAAATTTTTACAAACACGATATACTCATGAAACAATCACCCAGATCAGCAGACAGAATGGTACTAGCATCCCAGCTACTCCTTTACACTTCTTTCTGGATTCCATGTCTTCTTGCAAAGGTAATAACTATCCCGACTTCTATAATCAAGTTTTGCCAGTTTGTTAGCTTTATTGTTTGTATTATTTTGAGACAGCCAAATGAAAATTAAGTTTCTTGAGACCAAGGAACATATGTTACATCTTTTCTCTCACTGCAAAAACCATTTGTCAATTATACACTTTCCTTCTAATATTCCCATTATGCACTGCCATTCGACTGCATTTATCTGGCAAAGTCCCCGTTTTGGGTGAACCCCACTGCCTACCTTCTTTGCATGTCTATAGGGATTACTGAGTGGAGTGCCATCCACTCTCTCAGCTTGATGCCACAAAGATCTATGGTCTCTAACCTTAACTGGACACTCAGTTAAGGTTATTTTTTTGATCAGCTCTCTTTTCCACACTTTATAGGAGCTATCCCCACCCACCTGCCCTTAATTCAGACTTTCTACCCCACCACTTCCCCCTTGAGACACAACAGGAAACTATACTTGGTTATCAGAGAGAAAATTCAGGCTGTTGGCAATTTGATCAACCTCCTGTCACCAAATATGCAAATGTGCTCACATCCTCGCCTATCTTTCTACTACCTTACCTTGAGGTTTCCTTTCTGCCTCTGTCTGCTCAGTGACATCTCCTTTGGTCAAGGTTCATCTTATCTTATCAAGATATCCTCTCCTTTTCTCCTCCTCAATTGGCCATTTACCACTGGGATGTCAACGTGTTAAACTCCTTACCAAATTTAAACATGATAATAACAAGGCCTTATCTGAAAAACTCTATATTCCGCACCAATCATCATCCCATCTCTCTCCCTTCTTTCAGTCAAACTTCTTTGGAGCAGTCTTTCTACTTCCTTTCTACAGTTTCTTGTCTCCCCAACTCCTTTTTCTTCAACTCAACTTCCTTCAGTCTAGCATCCTCCTCCATCATCTCACTGAAACTCCCCTTACCAAGATTCCTGACTACCTCCTTATGGCTAAACCTAATGGACCCTTTTCAGAACTTTCCTTTCTCAGCAGTAGTTGATACTGCAAATCATGCCCCCTTTCTGGAAATATTTTTACTTTGCTGACAGGACCCCACTCTCCTGGTTTCCCTTCCACCTTACTGGGAATATTTTTAAATCCCCTTTAAAAGGCTCTTCTTTACTCTGTAAATATAAGTGTACATCAGAGTTCTTTCCTAGGCCTTCTTTTCTTCTTGTGTTACCACTACCAAGAGGATGAGGTAAAAAAAAAAAATACATATACATTCAAATCATTGCCTATGGTTTGGCCTTATTCAAATCAACAAATACTGCAGCTCAACAAGTATTATTCAAATCAGTAAGAATTATATTCATATAACACAGCATGTTTTAAACTGAATCCTTTCCTCTGTAGCAATAATAACAGTGAGAGCTTATAGAATGCCTTCTAGGTGAAAGGCATAACTACTCTGAAATTTATTTTTTCTTATTGTAAAATAATATTTTCTCATGTCGAAAATTTAAAACAATAATATTATGAAATATAATATGATATAATATAATGTAATATAATGTAATGTATTGCCCTGAGTTCTACCACCCAGAGGTACTTACTGTTAACTTCTGGCAAATTTTTTCAGGTTGAATATGCACATTTTATATATATATATATATATATATATATATATACACACATTTTGCATAGTTGAGATAATTATATTTTCATTTATTTTTATACCTGGACATTTACTTGTATCATTAAATTATTCATAACTTTTAATATATTTTAGTGGCTTCATATTTCAATGGCTTCATATATATTATCATATGATCATAGAATGAAATAATCAATGCATCCACCTATTACAAAATATTTAGAGTTTTCAAATTTCTTATTTCTGGATTTTGTTCTTAATACACATTCTTAAAAATTGATCTACAGTGTCAAAGAATTTCAATTTCCTGATTCTTAATATGTTTTTGTCAGTTACCCATTATAAGAATTATATCTGTTTTCTATGCCTTGTTGCTGTTTTGACTTGCCTTTGGTTACTAAACAAAGTTGAACTTTTAATTTTATTATTTACATTTCTTTGGATTATTCCTACATTTTTCTTTGCTATTATTATTATTATTTTATTATTTGCTTAATATTAAACTTGAATGGAGGATTCCTGGGAGCCAGAGAAGTCTCAAGGTGAGATAACTGGGGAGAGACAGGGCAGAACTGGAGCTGGCAAACTGTTTGACTTTCTTTTTTTTCCTAAGGCTGAACATTCCTGTTAGATTTATAAGTAAGAAATGTGATAACCATCAGGATTCAGTTTTCACACTGTTTGTTACTTACAGTATGGGTTTTGCAGCAGATGGATAAATTATGAGTTTGAGAAAGAGGGTAAGGGAAAAGATAAAGCCTGAGATGATAATAACATGGTCTCTCTATGGTAAATGATCCACAGACAAATAACCAATGTTTACTTCTACATTTCACCGTGCTGAGTTACCACTGTTCTCACCACCAAACACACACCTTCCACCCTTATGCCAGCCTAGTGTACTAGGAGTCTGCCCACGAGTAACAAAGTGCAAAACTATTTCTTCACAGCAAGGAGAACGAGAACTTGAAAACAGAAACTCAAACAGTGCTCCAGAAACCAGTGACTGGTGATGCAAAGCAGATGAGCAGAGACTCCCCAGCTCCCACTAACCCCACTGATCAGCAAACCAATGATCACCCAGATGATGTAGATGAGAGCAAGCGACCAGAAAACAACCAGAAACTCCTAACAGGAGCATGCAGTAGCCGATTTCTAGATAGCAAAGTAAGTAACAAGAAATGCCCAAGGTTTTCTTGGTACTTTATTTAAGAAAATATAGATTAAAAACACAGGATCACACAAGCACACACTGTACAAATTATGTTCAGATAATTTGCATGAGATATAAATTAAAATCAAATGTTTTAATCTGAAAATGAATTTCAAAGTCATTTTGTATATTGCATCTTTGTTGAACACCAATTGAGTTGGTCAACCTACTCTACCTGTGGCTAACTCAGTGATCCTCAATAACACGATGATAAATACTACTAGACATGCAAAGATGGGGGGTTATTGGAAAGGGGAGGGTCTGTCTGCTTTCACAATATAGAAAGAAACGATTGTTTTTAAAATCCGATGCAGCCATGTCTACATAGCAAAAATGTTATAGGCCTCAAACTGTCTCAATAGAAATATATATCACTGCACTCTGTTAACAATCAACCGAACAAGCCATAACAAACTAACTTGATAATGATGAATCTAAATGATTAGTAATTTGTAATTAAAAAGCAAAGCTAGCAGCAATTGAAAACTGGATAGAAATCAAGACAAAACTAATGATTCATTGATAACAAAGTACCATTTTCAAAATTGCTGAAATTGCAAGTAAACAGTTACATAGAGTAGGAGTTTTGCAATGCTGCCAGGCATTAAGTGACAGCCAGATATTTTAGTAAAATACTGAATTAGAGTCTGCAGTAAACTCTAACATAACTATTTTTGGTTTGTAATTTTTATAGCCCTTTCTAAATCACTGAGATACTAGCTAGTCTTTAGTTACAAGAGAAAATGAATGCTTATGGATTTGTGATCTTCTGCTCATAAAAATCATGCAAAGAATTATAATTCTGGAGTGATTAACATCAGTACTCTGCAAGGTCTAGTTAAACACTGAAGCCCAGAAATGAAAGTGACTTGCTGAAGACATTAGTGGCACAGACTGGGCTGGAGCTCAGGCCTCCTAGCCCCCAGTTAGTGTGTTCTTTTGGCTTTTCCATGATGAGTCCTTGAACTTAGGGCCTGGTTAGAGAAGGAAATAATGAATCTGCAGAGGTAAAATAATCTGCTATGAATTTCTAAGAACCTCTGAGTTTTTACCCAAACTTTGACTCTGGTGTTAATGTGTTCATTGCTTTTGTTCTCCAAGAATGACCTTGGTAATGATATTATAGTTATAAAACATTATATTATTGACTGATTGCTTTCAGGTAGATATTATTTGCTCTATGAATTAACCCTGTGAAGTAGGTGCCACTGTTATTTCTATCACCATGGAATAGATGATAAAACTGAGACTCAGAAAAGATAAAGTGACTCATAGGTGTGCAGGTAAGGTGTTTGCCCAGGTCTCCCTTCTTTTTATTTTTCTTTCCTTGAATTTTTTTTATTTCTGATTATAAAATATTGCATAACCATATAGCAATTTAGAAAACAGGAGAATATCATTTTTAATGGCTCTGTGAGAGTCATATTTGGAACTAACACTTAGATAACATTTACTATGTGTCAGGCACTATTCTGAGCTCTTTGGTATATAATCTAATTGACTATTCCCAATCACCCAACAAGGTAGGAACTCTTATTATCTTCAGCTCAGGGATGAGGAAACTGAGAAACAGGTCAAGTGTTTTGCCAAAGGGTAAGAAGCAGCAGGGTCACAGTTGAAGCCCAGGTTCTAGGTCTTTAATCACCAAATTATATTCATTATTTTATACAAACATAACATGGTTTATTTAACAAATCCCTTGTGGGCATTTACGCCATTTCTATTTTTTCTATAAAACTAAAATGGAAGTCTGTTTCTTAACAGGCCTCCTAAGGCATTCAAGCTGCCCACTCCTGCCATGGAAATGCATTTGCCATTATCACGGGTAGAATGTTCACTGGATGAGCTGTCCTTCCGACCTCTGTGATCTGGATTATTTGCTAGCTCTGTGGTACCAGAGGGAGATGATTTGCTTCTCCTCTCCCAGGACCCTACAGGGTTTCTGGTGGGAGGTTCAGCGGGGGCTAACACCCAGCCACCACACAAGAAAGGCCTTGTGGGAGGTGTGGGGACCGACTAATTGGTTCTGTCTGCCGGGTGGGCATGTGGCGCAGGCCTGCCAGATGGCAGCCACAGTTGCCTGGGACAGAGACCCTCATTACCACCTTGACTAAGTGGTAAATGGAATCCTGCCGTAGTTATAGAAGCGCACCAATCAGAACTCTTTCTAGATCCTTTATCGCTCACACGTAGATGAAAATAAGCTTTCCTGCCTAGGACTTAATAGGCAATCTGGACCAGCTGAATTGGCTCCAAAAGAGAAGTTGCCGGTAAAGACTGAGCTAACATGCGTGAGGACAGCAAGTGTGAAACTCTTTTCCAAATTGCAGAGTCAATTTGAGAGTCGTTGGTAAGAGGTAAGTAATGCTGAAAATGTTAAGAGAAGTCATAGTTTTATGTATATGAGAACAGTAAGATAGCTTAGAAATAAACAAGTACAAACCTTCCTTTCACAATAGGATAGGCCCAGAGCATTTAAATTGTCCAAGGCCTAGCTAGAAAAGAGCTTGGCTCTTTCGATGGCTAAGCCTGGCATCTTTTTGCCTCCAAATTCTGCCCCTTATGAATACGTTTTTGCAAATAAAGATTTTGTTTATATTGTTTCTCAGAAGCGCCAGCTCTGCCTTCTCTCAGAAGAATAAAATGGAATGTGTGACTAGCAACAAATTCAGCAGCACAGTTTCAAAAAATAAAATCAGAGTTTTTTTTTACATCTGGCAGCATGAAAATGAAAGTGTTAGTGCTTTCATTTTAATAATTATCACAGTGATTGAGAGGGTAATCTTTTCAAAGCCACTTTGCATATGTTCTCTGGTTTGTTCTTCACAATAGCCATGAAAGGTTGGTAGGGGCACAAGATGTTATTCTCATTTTATAGATGGATAGACAGAGGTCAAGGTCATTTCCACTTAATGGTGTATTTGCAGTACAGATTCAACATGTTCCAAGCAGAACATTTGTTCCTGCTCTTCTTCCTGTGGTTTGGGTCTCATAGAATGGCCCCACCACTCTCCCAGTTGCACCAATATGAAATCTGGGCATACCATCTTCTCCTCTCTCCTTGACTCTAATGTCCAAATGCTGAGTCCTTTAAATTGTACCTCCTTCATATCTCTCAAAACGTCCTATCCCTTTTCTTTCCTTTTGTCGCCGTCCTTGTCAGACTACTATTCTTTCTCACCAGGGAGATTCTAATTATCTTTCCTGTCTTTAGACTTCCCTGTCTGTACTGGTCAGCAACTGTAACAGATACTGCTGTGCAACAAATCACCCCTCTACTCAGTGCTTTATAACAGTAATCATTTATGATCACATCTACAGATGTGAACTCAGGCAGCTTTTTATTTATCTCTGTTAGCTTGAGATGGGCCTGGCTCCAAACTGAGGATGTGGTTCAGGTCTTCTTTGTGTTTTTCATATTGTTCTGAATCCAGAGAACTCCTCAAGACAAGATTCTTCTCCTGGTGATGGAAACTTTGCAAGAGGACAAACTCAACCACACAAGTACATTTTAAGTCTTTGCTTGTGTCATAGCCTCTAATATCCTGTTAGTCAAAGCAAACCACTTGGCCAAGCACAACACCAATTCCTCTTTTAGGAAGAATTTTAAAACTACAGATCAAGTGTAACCACAGATCTGCTTTAAAACACCCTAAAATCCACAGTTAAAATTTAAACTCTAGTTTTACTTTCCATTCCAGCTCAACTCTGTCTGTATTCTACTTCTCTCTCATCCCCACCTTTCAGTGCACTGAAATTCTATTCCATAAATAGAGTTCTATTTTCTTTCACTTCTCATTCTTTGTTCATGCTATTCTTTTGGGGTAAATGTCTCCTCCTTCCATCTTTACTTGATTAATTCCTAATAATATCATGGTTTCAACTTAGATATCAGCTTTACCCAGAAGCATTATTACCTGATTCCCAAGACTAAGATAAATGATTTTTCTAATGTATATAAAAGTGAATCTTTGCATACCACTATAGTGGCTGCTGTTATACTATTAAAATAGGCTGTTTGCTTGTCTGTCTCCTTCCACATGTCTATAAGACCCCTGAGAATAAGAATTGTGGCTTGTTTATTCGTGTATCCAAAATACTTCTCTCTGTATATTGTCCAAAGTCAACACCTTATTTAATGGGGAAGCACTGGAGGCTTTCTCAAGAATACTTACTATAGCCACTGGTTTTAATAATATGCTGGAAGAATTTATGAATGCAATTAAATAAGAGAAAGAAATGATAGGTATAATACTTAGAAAAGAAAAAAAACTGTTTTCAGATGGTAAGATTATACATCTAAAAACTCAAAAACTAATGAAATAATTGTTAAAACAATGAAGAGAAACTGGTAAACTGAAAAGTTATAACATCAATAATGCCAATCAATGGCCTTCATATATATATAAAGCAACTAGTTAAAAGATAAAATGGAAGAAAAAGCACCATTTACAATAGCAAATAAATACATAACTCAATGAATAAAGAGCCACAGCATAAACTTAACAAGTAATGTCCAAACTTTTATGTGAAAAATTATAAAGCACTCCTAAAAGACACAAGAGTATATTTGAACAAATGGAAAGGTGTGCTATGTCCTTGTACAGAAAAAGTTAAAATCAAAATGTCAGTCCTCCCTGAGATAATGTGTAGACTTGATCAGATTTCCGTGAAAATAGTATTCGATTTTTATTTTGTTTTGTTTTGCAACTAGCCAAATTGATTAAAAAGTTAATTTGGAATGGCAAGTAGGCATGTAGAGTCAGGAAAACCCTGAAAAGATCAACGTTATGTATAGGTTAGGGGCAAGATACCATTACGAGATGCTAAAACAAAAAGTCTCCATACTTGAAATAGTGTGGTTTGAGCATATAACTAGATGAAAGACCAATGGAATTGAAAAGAAAAATCCAGACTTTTGTGTATGATAAAATTGACATCACAAATAAATAAG